GAAAAAAGCAGAAAGTGTGCACGCGCAAATTACTTACATTTTTAACATTACCCACATCTTATTTGGTGGTAGTGAAACATTCACACACTTCCTAGCACTTAGTGTTCTTAATAGACTAATCTCTTGTGGTCATTACTCTTCTGAAGATGAAAAAGCACAATTAAGGACATTGGGAGTCATTCATAATGGCAGAAAATGTATGCTTAACAGACATACACAAAAACATGTGGAGCTCAAATAGAAGACCCCCCTTTGTTAAGACCACAATCTGTATTCTTTTCTGTTATTTACGTCTATAGAGAATCCCCTATGAGCATGCATATGGCGACAGAAAGGGGAGAAAAAACTCTTTGAAAAAGAGCTCCCGGCGAATAAAGCTTAGGAAGGACAGCCATCTGCTGTGACTGTTTGCTCTGTGGGAGAGTGACGAGAAAAAAACACAAACATATAGAATTAGATTAGAGTTAGATAAGATAATCATCCAGGGTAATTCCTCTACCTGCCAACTAGACTTCACTCAGAGGTGTCCCTGATCATTGGTCTACAAATCCTCACCATCTCCTGGTTCATGACCACAATATCTTATAATGCCTGGTTTCTCTCCTACTACCCAGTCAGGGCCTTTCTGTTGCAATAGTTGCACTGGGTAATTTGTGATTAGTTCCAAAGCTTTTGCAGACATCCCATCAGTCAGAAATGTATTTATCTGCATGAGAACAACATGAAAAATGCATCCAGTCTTAAACTTCCTCCTAGCTGTTTGGGATTAGTTTGACCTAGTAAGTATGAAAATGAAAAATCTGCGTAGACTCCAGCTTGTCGGCCGGGTGAACCACAGGTGCACCTGACTGAAGCATAGTCCTCATTTACAAACCCTAGCATTACGGCTAACAGGTGGATTTTTCCATTGCAGTGCGGCTAGCTAACAATGAAAAACCACTTAGTGCTAAAGAGAGCGTGAAAGTGGACAGTATGTCCTGTTTTTTATTTATTTTTTTAACCATAAAACTCACTGCTACAGCCATAGGCAGTACAAAAGTGACTCCCCTAGACTGCTTTTCAGTTTTAGTTTGCTTGTTTTACAGTTATCAGTTCTGTCACTTGTTAGCTAACATAAACTCATGAAGTCTGTTAGCTGCAACCAACCAACCACGTGACGTCACGTTCTATACTGGCACAAGGTGGTGCTAAACACACTCTAAAAAGTTTAAACACTTATTTCTTAAACCCAGCTTCACAGTCGTGTTAAATCCATTACAGTTTTTTTTAGAGGGATCCACAGTGTAGATTTGCCGTTATATGTACATGTGTTGTTTCATGTGCTGTTGTGATTTGATTAATATTATGGATTTTTATGTTTCTCCTTGCCTTTTTTCTTTTACTACTTTACTTTTACTTTTAGAATTCTTGATGCAAAATGTTTTAACCTGTTTTTCCCATATGTCCGTTTTAAAATGAGCTACATAAATACACTTGATTTGATTAATGGCTGATATTTAAAAGCCAGAATATGAACACATGTGCTCAGCACAGAAATGTTTCATTGTTTGAACAGATCATCCCCCACACACTCTCCTCTGTTGCAGCGGCAAATTAGACTGTGAAATTGACAGCTCATGTGTTGCCATCTGGTTGCCATGACACCTAGTTATTAGGCCCTCTGACAGTCCCAGCTCAGCCTATTTGTTCCTTCTTCCCCCTCCTGCACATCAACACTGTTTCCAGTATAAAAAGGCATGAAACACAGAGTGTAGGTTGATAACAGCTTCAGTGCTGGTGACTTCCAGCTGAGGCAGCAAGCAAGCAGCGTATAATCTTTCAGCATGTTCAGTCATGAGCAGATCCAGTGGTCTAAAATCCTAGAAAAACAAATAAACAAACAAACAAAAACAAAAAAAAAACCAGGCAGGCACGAGATGATACCTTAAACAGGACAGCACAGCATGCAGATCCACATCATGACAGAGCAATTCCCCTAAAGGCACTTTCACATCAGAGCCAATTGATCTAAACAATTGTTCTGTGCAGCAGAAGCATAAAAGCCTAATTTCCACACATTACAACCCCGGTCTGGACCACATTGAGACTTTAATGCTCCACTGATCAATGAGAGGATTAAAGCAATTTAAAGGCTCCTTTGTGTGGTGTGTGCATTGGAATCTCCTTCATCCTCAAAACCTCTGGGCTGGCAGACAGGGTGTTCCTTCTGCTCCTGAACTTAGCGTGGCCTGGAGTCAAAGAGGCTGAAGCAGCACCACGTGGCCTTTTTTTGCCATGTACTGCTGCTGTATCCCACACAGATATCCTGCTGCACCCTTGCGGGAGGTGGGGATGGCGTTGGTGGTGGAGTGACTCATTCAGCCCCCTCTTCTTCCTCTTGACATTTGACATACTGATGTAGAGGATCTCAGCTGGAACAAACACAGCGTGCTGTGTCACAGCTGCGATGTCTGTGCCTCTGAGCCCCTGGCTTACAGAGCTGAGAGCAGGTAACGATGAGTCAGCGCCTATTTAATTCATACACCTACACTGGGAAACTCGGGGGGGGGTTGTTTTCAAGCTGATTTTATTTATATTTTCCACATCGTTTCCCGCTGAGAATTCAGCGTCCCACGACGCTGCCGCAAATTCCTTGAAAGTTATTCTAGCTCCAGCTCTGCAAGGAGTTGAGGGAAAGGGCAAAGGGAGTGCACAAAGATAATTTAAAAAACACAACACAGTTCATGAGGCAACACTGCACCACAGCTATTAGGCTGATACATGCGAGCCATTAGGTGATCCATTCTCATTAAAACTCTTTCACTGAACAATAAGGATATTGTACCTCATTTAACTAAATGTTTCCACAAACACAAAGGCTGCTGCTGAACAGGGATACTGCTTCCTAATGAACCCCACTGAGACCTATCATCTTCAGGTCCTTCAGCCCTCTGCCCACCGTCTCATCAGGGCGGATAAAGCACCTCAGAGATTGAGACTGTCCTTACATCAGGTGCCTGAAGGTGGATGCTGACAAGCGTCTCAGAGGACATGCTGACTCTCACTTCTCCAGCTCTATTAACTAGTGTTTCCCCCCACTGCCACTTCTACTCTGCATCAGTGATTTAGAACAATCTCAAAGACCCACTGAGGCAAACTAAGGGGGGAAAAAAAAGGAGTCAGCATTAAAAAAAAATCAATCTCCTCAAACCATATAACTTCAGATACAGCTTTTGGTGCATTGCCTTTGACACGAGGGATTACCTCATGTGTATCTGAACTCTTGGCAACTGAAATTTTAGTTACTCAAAGAACACTTGAACAAGTACCATTTGGTTTTAAGTTAATGCTTTATTGTGGCTGTAGATGTGGATGTGAACCTAAATGACTCTCAAGACAAAAATGACTGTCAAGTACTGGATGTACAGGAAAACCAGGCCTCTCACACAGTGTCAGCTGGGAGCCGGCAGAGGATCCAGCCTGCCCATGAACCTAAAAGAGGTTAAAAAAATGGCTGGATTAAATGTTAATATTTTGTAATAATTCATGATAAATTATAGTCTATTTCTTCCTCTCTCGGTGCCAATGCAATGCAGAGGGAAGTCATTCTTTTTTAATTTTTTGGGGATTGAGGCGTTTTGACTCACTGTTGCTACAAAAAAAACTATTATCTGGAGAAAAAGAAATCCAATTAAGAACATGAACAAAGTAGTAGCACTCAGTTGTGTTCCACACAGATGCTGAAGAGTGCGTATGGCACAAAATTAAATAACAGAAAGATCAGTGCCTTCACAAACAGTAAGAACATGTACTGGCATATTCAGACCAGCCTGGACTGTAAAAAAACCCCCCACCCTGACTGTCCCAGTGAATCCAGAAACCACACACATTGCATGAGTTCGATTCAAAATCACAGCAAATGATTTTGGATCCTTTTTGCAATCTGGTAAGAACAATGTGCTGCTGGACTAACGAGACGACGCTTTGCAATTATCTTTGAGTCCTGCAGGTGGGAGTCAACAGTTTCTCCTCCTGACAAGACTGGAGTAGAGATCCAACGAAACCCCGAACACAGATATTTTAATGCACCCAAACTCCACATATAAGAACACTGAATTGTTTGGATCTCTTACAGGTTGTTTTGGGTCATTTCACTTACCTTTGCTTTGGTGGTTTTTTATGTGGCTGTTTTTAAGGCGGTTTTTGTTTCCACAGATCAGCCTGAGCAACTCTACACCTCTCAATATGACTCAAAATGAGTCAAAATAAAGCTTTATCTACTCCTTATTGTATTAGTACAGAATAATGTGATTTTGGATATAGTCATCACCCCTGTCCCTTTGCTTTTAACCTTTATTAGGCCAGATAGCGTTGACAAGAAAGAAATGAAAGAGTGCAGGGGAATGACACGCAAGCCACGGCCAGACTCAGGCCCCAGCATTAGCCTTTGGCATATGGACTGCCTGCTTAACCAGATGACCTACAGTGACACACCAATCAACCAGTCAGCTTCTTAATCTGCTTCCCTACACATTCAAAGCTACGATTGGTCAAATTACCAGGGAGTCAGGCTGTATACGTGTAAAACATAGACAATAAATAAAATAATGAATATGAATTAAAAACAGTACAAAACTTTCAACAGGAAGACGCAGCTTTCAGACTTGAGGAAGTCTGAAAGCCTGATTGGACACAGGCAAAGCAAATGCAAGTTAATCTTCAGCAATAGTTTTCTCAGTACTGTGCTCGGCTAACACTGGTGAAGGAAAAATAGTAGTGCATGTGACAAATTTTCATCATGCCAGGCAAAGTTTTAAAACTGATGATGATATAAACAAATAAACAATGACACTGTATATCCAAATTGGATATCATATATACAATTAGAATAGTTGTCTCACAGCTGAACAGAAAACTACAAATTGTTGATTTGTAAAAAAAAGAAGAAGAAGAGATTAAAATATAAGCCACATTTTTCCTCCCATTCAGTTAATTTCACTGAAGCTCGCCAGTCGCACTGATAGTGTTGAACGCACTTTTATTGTTTAGGTGTCAAATGTAACAGTGTCACCATTCAGAGAGGGATAAAGAGTAAATAAATGGCCACATAAAAAAATATAAAATCAACAATGAAAATGGTCACACGGGGAAAGTCTGCTTCCCGTGGCAACATAGATGTACAGTTGAGACAGTGTCCAGATCCAGACATGTATGTGTTTGATTTGCACGTTTTTTTTCTCCACAGCCTACAGTAATCTCAGACAATAAGAGTCCTTTTTTTTGTTCACTAGCCATGCATACAGTTGACAGTTCCACATGTGTTGAGTCAGTGTCTTCATAGGAGCTGGCACTTTTTCCATACAAAATATTTACACTACCATTTATTATTCTTATTATCACCACCGCCTCCGTCGGTGCTATTTGTTACTATGAATTTGAATACTCTGAGCACATGAAGGATGGCATCAGGATGTCGAAACTGTGGAGCGCCACATTTCATATTGATACCAGAGGACGAAAAGAAAAAAAAAGTATGACAAATGTTGGCATCTTCACTTTAAATGTCACCCATTCCTGAAAAGAGTTTGGAGAGACGGTCTGCGGAGATATTCAAACACTGAAATCGCTCTTTGTCCCGTCAGGATGAAGCAGTTACTTATATTACTACTCAGCAATCTGCTGTCAGAGTCTCCCGGAGAGGAAAACAAAACATCACACGATATGTGAAAGACTCCGCTATGCTTACTATCATATCTCAAAGTGAGAAAATAGGAAAGAGATGATTGCACCGTTGTTTTTTTGTTTTTGTTTTTTTAAAGAAAGACACCGACTTATCCTTTTTCTCTCCATTCTTTTTTTTCTTTTTTTTGAACAGCAGAAAAAATAAAACTAAGAACATTGAGGCGCTTTCAGGGAACCTCTTTGGTTCAGCCCTGTGATGAGTAGAAAAAAACCCCTCCGCCAACCTCTCCTCGAATTAAACTGGGAGCAACATTGTACATAATGGAAATCAAATGCTTCTTCAGAAATCTGTCATGTGTGTTCAGCAGCTACTTGCAACAGAGTCATGGTAACAGGAAATGCGTCTCAGTGGTGTGTCTGAAAACTGCAATAACAACAGTTATTTCTAGCAGATTGTTTAGGAAGCTGTAATGAATAAAGATCCCGATCTGTTATTCTTTGCTGACAATATTTGCTTCCTCATAACGGAATAACTTAAACAACAAACAAACAAACAAAAAAGTGTAAAATAAGGCGAGGGCATGTTCTGTTTGTCATTTGTCAATTACCTTTGCGGCAAATTCCTGGCAATTTTCATTCAAAATGTACGCATTACTCACGTGTTATTATTCTTATTAATCGTGTCACTGCAAATGTTATGCTCCACTCACTTGGTATCCATTGCGCTCAACTGTGATTTTCATCTTCAGTTTAATCGGCATGTGCATGTGTGTGTCTAAGTGTGTATCTGTCCACTGCAAGTCAAACAAGTTCCCTCTAAGTGGACTTTTTGCCTGGTCTGTTCCTGGTACCCCCCCCCCCCTCCCCAGGGCTATTGTATATTGCAAGAGGAGCAGCAGGGGTCGTCCTTGTCTGGCTGAGCGGCGTAGTCCATCTGCCGAACGATCTCGGCGAACAGTTCGTCTACCATAGTTTTGCTCTTAGCCGAGGTCTCCATGAACGGGCAGCCCCACTCCTCGGCTAGAGCCTGACCTTCGCTGGATGATACCTCCCTCTCGCTTTCCAAGTCCACCTTGTTCCCCACCAAGATAACGGGAACCTTTTCGTACCTGAAAGCACACACAGACCGACGTCAGTTTGTCAGACACACAGGAAAAACAACTGCTGCATGTGTGGCAAATCAGAGCTTTTTATTTTATTATGTTTTTCCCATAAAAGTGAAAAGAAAGGCAATTCCCCTTTCAGAACTTGGTTTTAGCAAATTCTAAATAAGAAAAAAAAGCGCACAGTGATTAAAACCTTCATCTGTTGCACTTACAAAAATCATAATTATTTAAAGGAGATCTGACACATTTATTTCAAGCTCCATATTTTTATTCTACTAAAGTAGGTTTGCATAATGGAATTTAGGATCATCTTTATTTATCTGATAGTGGGCATTAGTGCAGCCCCTCAGTTCATCGTGTATCTAGAACAAACTGTTCCAAACACTTTTTCCTTACAGTTGACCTCTCCTGATTGGCTGTCCCATGCAAACAGAAGGTTTGAAGAACAGGTGGGTGGGGCTGAGATGGCCAGTCACAACATACAGAGCAAAGAATAGAAAAAACCCCACCTCTACTATCTCTAACCGAGCATCTGAAGCCAAAGCTCTTGGCTCACATTGATTTCCAGGGCAGACACCGATATCATTATTTGAATCTTTGGCCTTGTTTAATAAGTGCATCCACTATTTTAACAGTACAAGTATGATAGACAATAAGAAAAAAAAGTATAATAGCCTCTTAAAAAGAGGCTGGAAGCAATAGGCAATAGGTAAGAAAGCATCTTTACTGGGTTACTGAATTATCATTGGGCAAATGTGAAAATGCTAACCACTGAGTCAGCACCTCTAGCAAAATATTTATGATGATTATCACCACTATCAACAGAAGATTCAACCTAAAAATCAATCTAAAAAGCCTATGTGGACTTTACATCATGGCCACTGTTTGAGCTTGCTGAACTCACGTGAACTAACATGCACGCATGGCTGGAGTGATTGAAACCTAAGAGAAAAGGTTATTTTTTCCATAACAACGACAGCCTCTATTCAGTTTCTCCAGTTTATTATACTGGAAGTTGGTGGTTTCACCCAAAAAGCTGTTACTGTTATCAGCAGCATAATTCTTTCTTAATATACCAGTTTTGCATTTGCTACATTATCCACTCACGTGACCATTAAATTAACATCAATTCTCAGCCTCTGTTTAATCCCTTTTTGACATCTTTCCATCTTTTATCTTTTCCAATCTCTCTAACAAAACAAGCCTGGATCTTTGACAAAAAGGATCTCGGTGGTTATTTTTGAAAAGCTCAGCTGGGTGAAAGAGGTGGGCTCGTTCTGACTGAAAGGTCGCAAGAAGGATTAAGATGAAAGTGTTTCCACTTTAGCATACGAGTGGACTCTGAGTGTGGGAGGAAGCTTTTTTCAGATCAAGAACCAGAGCGTCACCTGCTTCATCTACCGTAAACACTAAGTGTAAAGCCTGACCCAGTACAGCAGAGGAAACGGGTACTATAGCTGTCACCCCTGAGGGCAGGAAGTGGCCATAATCCTTTGAGCTCTGAACTCCTTGGCACGTAGCTAAAGCACAAAATGTCACCGTGGAACTGGACTACTTTGAGGACAGCCAGAGGATGCGGTCGGTTAAAATAAATAGGCTGCTCTATAATTACTTAAAAAGAAGCAGCTGAGATGCATTTCCACCAATATGATCACTACATCAGTTTTGATATTGGGGAACATGGCGGGCTTCTGAGGCACTTTGTACACATCAGAGGAGATAACAAAGCTCAAAAACATCAGAGAGATAGCAGATCATGCGTGTTCGCATCCTTTAAACAACAGGTTGCTATTTCTTTCATGCTTATCAGTATGCAAAACGACCGAGGGGGCGCTTTCCATCTGTCGGACCTGTCGTTTGAACCAAGTTTAAACGTCTGTGTTCACTTCACACTTCACAGCACAGTCAAATTTAACCCGAGCACCTGTCAGCACCATTAGGATTTTCAAATTCTGCACTCGCTCTGTGAATTATAGATGCCTTTAAGTTATTCACCAAAATTAATATCATCCTCATCCTTGTTTGTTATAATAAACTGGTAAAGAAGGAACTGGCTACTGTTGAAAAGACGGGGAGTCTGGAGACTACTGTGAAGCCTTTCCAGGCTGAGCAGCCAGAGCGTTTCTCAGAGGTAAGGGGGGCTGCAGGTTTCAGCGTTAAATAAGCTTAAACTAGCCGACTTTGATCTACCCATGAATACATTATCCAGCGAACTTTAATCTCAACTATCCCGTTCTGTTCCCAGGATGAGCCGAGAGGAGCTACCTGAATTTAAGAGACAATCTCTGAGGTCGGTCGGTCGGTGTGTGACCAAAAGTGTTGAGCTAGGCAGGCAAACTGAATGAGAAACAACATGTTATGCTTCTCAACTTTAACATTCAGCATGTCGTGCCTAAGTTCTCATTCGCTGCATTCCTGGTGTCAGTAAAAACAGCAAGGCTGTGATTTTTCTGAAAACTTCTTTGGATCTAGTTGGTGGTAGGTTATATTTAGCCTTGAACCTTAAATTCCCTTTCCCACCTTCACTGAAAACCCCCCAAACACTAAGCATAGCTGTGGGTGGGCAGATTGAAAGGCAAAATCTTTACTTTTACAGCTGCATCCATTTAAAAGGGCCTCTGTGTTTAGTTGGGCTAATGATGCCATTTTGGTAGGTCCTCCATTCAGCTGTTGTTTGTCTCCCACTCTAAATCACTCAAAGAGGTATGTATCTTGTACCATCAGATGCTGTTTCACACAAGCTCTCGCTTTTCTGCTCTAAACTGTTTGCACAAACCCAGCAAATATGACAGAAACACTGAGGTTATTCCACAGTACAAAACTGGTTTCAGTTCAGTTCAGGAGAGCAAAACCTACGCAATAGAAAACCTTATGTTGTTTCCATGGACAACAGTGGTACGGTTAAAGTAGAAGCGAAAAAAGTCATATTATCGCAACAAAGAAGGCACGTTTTTCTGTTATTTCACATGTGTTGGTTTTTAGAATTTTATCGAACAGATTTTCAACTCACCAGTTATTAGTCAACTCACATCAATCCTCAAATTTAAATAGTAACGTGTTCCTTTAATTTTTTTGAAGCAGTGGAATGAAGTGAAACAATGAAGAAGTGAAGCTACATGTACACGGACCCTGGCATGGACCTTACTCTTCAGCTTACTCCACACATTTTAAGTCAGAAATGTTCACGTTGGTCTTCTTAAGGTAGTTCTTCACCAGGAGCTACATATGTTGGGTTATTGTTGTGTTGGAAGACAAAGCGATGACCCGGACCCAATTTTGCTGCTGACTAGTTGGAGTTTTCTTCCACCCTGACGAGATTCCCAGTTCCAGCTGAACTAAAGCATTCCCACACCATAATACTTATGTGTTTCACAGTAGGGATGGTGTACTCTGGGTTGTATGCCTCTGCCTTCTTTCTCCAAACATAAGCAGAGTCTCTGTGGCCAAAGAGCTCAAAGTGTCTCCTCTGCACGAGTGGACTTTCTCTTGCTCTGCAACTTCAAAGTCCCTTCAAAGTTCGAGTGATTGTATGTAGGGCTGAACGATTATGGAAAATAATCTAATTGCGATTTTTTGCCCCAATATTGCGATTGCGATGCGATATGCGATTATTTTTTAAGGTCTTTGTCTTCTGTATTATTAAACAAAGACAAGCAATACATCATATAGTATGGCCAATACTATATTACATTAATTTTAAACTGTTCTTTCCTGGAAGACAGACCTCTGTTATGATGACATGAGGTGATGCATGAATTGATGACTGACATTTTTATTTAACTTCTTCAATCACAACAGTATATTTGAACATACACAATAGTTTATTTTTAGCTTACAAACATCTGAGCATAAAGTGCTGACAAGGAACCCTGGTGTAAACATTAAAATGAAAGTCAGTACAATGTGCAGATTGCAGAAATATACATAAACAAAATCAGTGGCTTTACCACACTCAGTTTTTCGACATCTGTGAACTACTAGACAGTCATTCAATTAAAAAATAATATTAAATAAATAAAACTAATAAATAAAAAATACACACATCTTACTGATCTCTGCAGTCAGTAACATTACACATACATCAATCAATCAATCAATCAATCTTTATTTATAAACCACTTTTCATACAGAGAAAATGTAGCACAAAGTGCTTTACATAGTTAAAAGCAGCCCACCCCACCCTCCAACTCACTCCCCACACTCTCAATACACATATATCCCCCCCCACACACACACATACACTCACGCGCACACTTAAAGAGTAAAAATTGGGCTGGGCTCGCATGAGCCAAGTGAAAACATAATAGCAATTGTATAAACACACACACAAACACGCCTTTAAAGTTTAAAGGCGTGAAATTGGACTAGCCTTCTGATTAGCGTCACCGCTGTCTCGGTGGAGTTTAATAAACTCGGCCGTCTGCTTCTTGCTATCTAAAATATAACCAGACACTGGTGTAAATTCTCGACTGTCTCATACTTCTGTTTAATAAGTTTTCTGTTTGACGTTTAGTCAGCTGTGTGAAAACCAAGGAGGAACCCACCCGGGGGATTAATAAAGTTTTATTTTATCTAATCTAATAACTTTAATCTCAGCCAAACCGATTTACTCACGAACAAACAAAACACTGAAAAAAGCCCAACAATAACATTTTTAGGTTGTCTAAGTGACTTATATATTACGTTTAACCCGAGCAGCGAAACTCCGCGGTGATCTGAAAATGATGTGCCGGGAGTTGTGCCGTTCTCGGCCGCATCAGTAACCCTCGAGCTCCCGGCTAGCTGTCGAGCTGGTGGGTAGCAGACGCCTCTGAAAACGTCGAAGCACTTTTGCAAATATGGGATATCTTGATAAACCGAGCAGATATTTGATGTTTACACAACTACTTTCTCGCCTGAAAATATGTTAAAAGTTTATTTTGTGACCCAGAAAGATTAGTATGAGTAATTTTAAAACTTAGTAGCGGCCGCCATTGCTGGAAACTGGAGTTTGGCTGGGCCGC